TGTAGCCCACAAAAAGGTGATCAACATCCTCCAAAACAACATTACACCAGTAGCAAGAGAGTCTATCCCTTCCACTTCAATACCCCGATTCTTGATGAAAACTTTTGTTGGTACTCTATGAATTTGCAACATCCAAAGGAAATGTTTTACCTTTGGAGGGATGAACAATTTCCACTCCTTGTCAAAGTCAAAATCCGAATCATCCACATCTGGATCAATAATTAGTTGGGATAATTTCTTAACCGAAAAATATCCATCTTTATCGCTTCTGCCCTCCACCACCTTACAATCATGGATTAACGCCTTCATAGTATCTAGCATGGCCCATTCACATTCAAGTAACACTCTACTAAAAGCCTACGCCCAACCAAAACCACCTGCATCCTCACCACTTGCATCCTCACCACCTGCATCCTCACCACCAATCACATCTACCACAACAAGTCATTTCTCTCTTGTTAGCCTGAAAAGTCTAGGAAAAGTACATCTCAACGATTCATCGCCACACCAAATGTCAATCCAAAGCAAAATAAGTTTACCATCACCGACAACCCAACAAAAAGTATCTGATCTCATCCACCTACTCATGCTCTCCTTTGACCAATTCCTAACAACGCCCTTCCATATAATATACATATTTTTGACATTGGCAGAATTTAGTAGCTCATTATTAGAGGGATTGTCATACTTTGAGGAGATTTACCTTACACTATAATGCTTGTTTATCCACACCAAACCTCCATCCCCATTTGGCCAATAGAGCTTCATTATTTTCTCTAAGATTTACCACTCCCACTTCCCCTTTAGAACGGGAAAGACACACCTTACTTCAACTTACCAGAACCAACTTATTCTTCGTCGGTAAGTTGCCTAATAGAAAATTTCTTCTAATCTTATCCAACTTCTACACCACCAGCTTTGGGACTTCGAAAAGGGATATAAAATACGTGTGGAGAGCAGAAAAGACATCGTTAATCAAAGTCACTCTCCCAACAAACGAGAGTGAGTTTCTCTTCCACCCAGCAAACTTCGCTTGAAACCTTTCAATGATCGGATCCCATGTTTTAATTTTCCATGGGTATGTTCCTAAAGGAATACCCAAATATGAGAAAGCTAACGAATCCACCTTACATCCACAACATTTGGTAAGATCAGTAACCAAAGCAGAATCCACATTTATTCCAAGAATGCATGATTTACTAAAGTTAATACTAAGGCCTAAGCAAACCTAGAAACACCTTAATATTCATTTAATTTTTAATATAAAATCTAATTTTGGTTTCACGAAGATAACTGTGTCGTCTGCAAACTGTAAACGACTGGCGGGGAATAACATTCTCAATGCCTTTGATCTCACCCAACATCTCTACCTTGATAAATAAACGATGTAGAACCTCTGTCATAAAGATAAAAAGGAACGGGGACAACGAGTCTCCTTCCTAGAGCCCTCTCCTAATTCGAAACTCCTTTGTAGGGGACCCATTAACTAACACCGAGACACTAGCTGAGGATACACAAGCACAGATCCACTTCTCCACAAACTGTCGAATCCTAACTTTTCCAAAACCATCATCAAGAATTCCCACCTCGCGTAGTCATATGCCTTAGAGAAGTCTAGCTTCAGCACAACTCCCCCATTCTCTGAACCAGCCTCGGACATAGAGTGGATAATCTCATTTGCTACCAATATTTCATCCGTTAATTGTCTTCCCACAACGAATGCACACTAAGTGTCTCATATCAAACCATCCAATACGATCTTTAGTCTTAAATAGATATAGTTGTTACCCTTAAATGTTGATTGATTGTTCTTAGCTATGACGAATATAGAAAAATTTTATTGGGTAGACCAATATAAATATGATAAAAACTATCTATAGTAATTCATGTGTACTTTTTAATTTAACATATAACAACAACTATAAAAACTACACATTTAGTACCTAAACTGTTATTTTTGTTAAGTTTTGATATGTAAACTCTTTTTTAAATTATAGTTAACATTCATTTTAGATTTAATACCTAAATTGTTATTTATTTTTGTTAAGTTTAAAAATATGAATGTGTGATAAGACATATTTTAATTAATGTCAGCTCTTCAGGCTATTTTTTCTCCTAAGAAATGTCTCATTCCATAGAAAATTTATGTTGTTGGGTTTTGAATAAATTGTATTTATATATTTCTCTATAACTATTAATATTTACGTATACAGTACATAAATAAATGGTTTCTTAATTATTGAGTATTGTTTTGTTAAATCCTTAACCATTAAAAGTTATAAAATGATTTTTGATTCTAGGATGTTATTTTGTTAAGTTCCTCGACTATTAAAAGTTATATAATAATCACCTGACTATTCATATATTCCAAACTAGTCTTTTTCTATTAAAAAATTGATGATTGTCTTAGCTAGACATTAATATGCTGATTTAGATGTGATAAAATCATATTTTAATTAATGATGTATACGGGCATTGTTGTTGCTTTCAAGTACTGGCTCGACAACATAATATAAACATAGAGTCGATACAAAAAAATATAACTCAAATAGTTCTAAGATTAGATTTATCATATCTCAATTAACAAGTTAACGTCCAACTCAATCTGTCGCTAATTTTTTAATGAAAAAAGATGAGTTTAGAATATATGAATAGTGGAATGATCATTTTTGTAACTTTTAATATTCGAATAACTCAACAAAACAACACTTTTATAGTCAAGGGACCATTTTATAACTTTCCATAACCGAAGAATTTAATAAAATAATATCTTATAATTGAAATATCATTTGTCTAATTTACCTTATATTTGATTTATCAATTTGAAGATTAGAATGAGATCTATTACGAGTGATATTGCGGCGGATCATAAAGAAAGATTTTGGGAAACTTATATTATGTCCTTTAGATGTTTTGAAAAATTTAATTTAACCCTTTCAAAATTTAAAGAGATTCTTATTGGATTTTTAAGTTTTTAAATATTTTGATTTACCCCAAAAAAAAAACCAACATATAGTTATTTGCATGAATTATAAGTCTATTAGCCGATGCTGCTGCAAAGTGGATAAGACGACGTGTAAACACATACCACTATTAAGTCATAAGGTAAAAACATTATAAATTTCTGTCACATTCTTACAAACCCATGTGCCCACTGCCCATTTTTTAATCATCTTGGGATCGAATATCGTTCTAAATCCCATTCATTGCCCTCATCTACTTGTTGTCATCAAGCGAGGTTACAAGGACATTTATGTCATATTTTTTCAAATGCGTCCAACCTATGCGCCCACGGGACCAAAACCATAGTCGAAACCATGAGCAAGTAGCAAATAGTTTTGGTTCTCTTATAAATATAAGATTCCCCTTCCACTTTCCCACCAACAAAACCGCAAAATCAGAGTGTATCTCTCTCTCAATACAAACTTTACGAAATGAATGCAAGTAGCGGAGCGTGGATCGTGGCAGCTAGTATTGGAGCAGTGGAAGCATTGAAAGACCAAGGCGTCTGCAGATGGAACCATACCGTAAGGTCAGCCGTGCAGCATGCCAAGAACCATCTCCGGTCTGCTTCTCAGGCCAGGACTCTTTCTTCTCAATCCTCTGCCGCAATTTCCAAAGGGCTCAAGTCTAAACAATCCGAAGAGTCTTTGCGGACCGTCATGTACTTGAGCTGTTGGGGTCCCAACTGAACCAATTCTTTACAGCGAACATCCTTTGAGTGAATTGATGGTCATTTCATTAAGGTCTGAGGACTGAGCCAACAGACTCATTTGGGTTGTATAATTAATGTAAATAGCTTTCTATCATCGTATATAACTCAATGACACAGAATTTTGAGAATTGCTTGCCTTTCATTCTTTATTCTACTTCTCCTATATTCGGGGTACTTTCTCATAACTCGAGTCGGTCAAATTCGATAAAAGTTCGATTTGAATGAATTCAAATTCATAAAAGTTCAATTTGAATGAATTCAAATTCGACTAGAGATTTTAATGAGCTGAATTGAGTAGAGATTATAATAAGATGACTTGAGTAAAGTTAACAAGTGAGCAACTTGTTAAATTTTTTATAATTTTTAATATCTTAAAATTTTATTTTATTTAAATATTACTAATCTATTAATAAATAATAAAAAATAATAAAGTACTAATCTATTAATATCTAATAAATAATTAAAAGAATTAAATTATTAACTAATAATTATTATTTTATTACACTTAAAAATCAAAATCTGATCAACAGAAATCTGATGGTTATTTTAACGTATTTATTGATTATTATTTTGTTTAATTTAAGTTTATTTCGTATAATATACAATATTATTAGATTTTATTTACAGTTAAAAAAATAAAAGTTTTGATGAGTAATAAGTTTTCAAATTTTCTTAACGAGAACAACTCAAGTAAAATTTTAGTAAGTTTAACAAGTAACTAGTCAAATAATAGAATTATTTTTAAGAGTTTTAATGAACATGTGTAAAAGATTTTTTTAACAAGCATGAGTCGAGTAAAATTTTAAAAGCATGAGTCCGAGTAAAATTTTAATAAGTGATGAGTCGAAAAACAAAATCCTTTTAAGAATTTTAATGAACATGTGTAAAAGACTTTCTTAACAAGCATGAGCCGAAAAACAAAATTCTTTTAAGGATTTTTAAAAGGATTTTAACGAACACGAGTCATCCAAAAAATAAACTAATTGATCTAATATTTTTGATACAATCCTAAAATTGATCCGATGAATTCGACTTATGAATCTGATATATAAAGTGAATAAAACGTAGACTTAAAATAACCAAACCCAATCTTAATGTCCTTGATATGACTTAATTAAATCTAAATTGAAAAGAATCTATACTCTGAAATGACTCAACCCAATACTAATGACCCCATTGCAACCTCTAGTTATAGAATGGGTATTGATATGGGGTATGAAAATTGAATCAAGACCTCGCAAACAGTGCAAGTGCTTGAGTGGGATTGGTAAGATTGTGAAGATTCTTGGAGATAATATTGGACTGCTTATAATTATAGTTATGCTTTACAAGACCAACCAGTGGAAAGCTCAAAGCATAGCTCAGTTTGGACCCCAACAGCTCAAGTACATGACTTTCCTCAAAGACTCTTCCGATTGTCTGGACTTGTCTTCCCTGCTCAGTCCCTTTGAAATCGCAGCCGAGGATTGAGAAGAGAGGCTCCTGGCCTGTGAAGCAGACCGGAGATGGTTCTTGGCATGCTGCACCGCTGACCTTGCGGTATAGTTCCACCTGCAGACGCCTTGGTCTTTCAGTGCTTCCACGGCTCCGATACTAGCTGCAACAATCCATGCTCTGCTGCCTGAACTCATATTTTCAAACACTCCTTGATTCTTGTATCTTGAAATTGAAGAAGATCGTGTTAGAAAGATACACGGGATTTTTATGTATTTTGTTTATGGGGGTAAGCCATGGAGCTTCTTGTGTATATAGGACGGGGGGAATAAACTATTTGCTGTGTGGCTCGTGGTTTTGAGTTGGTGGAAACAGCCAATGGTTTTCTCTTTCCGAGCCGGTGGTTTGGACGTAGTTGGAACACTATGACTTAAATATCCATTGCAAACCACTTGATGACATGAATTAAACTGGGGCAAAACTGGGATTTGATTGACTGAGAACAGCAATGGTTTGTCATCAATAATCTCCGGTACGCATACGCATGGAGTATTTGTTTTTTAAATTTAAATAATATCTAAACATTGAAGGCCATGCAGGCAAATTACTTGCAACGTGGCGACCTCCAAAATGCTTATTTTTGTTTCTCCGTGATTTCAGTAGTACGTGTTCCGTGCTCATAACCCACATTACAAATTTACAACGCTGTTGAGAAGCACAGACTAACGTCAGATTACACAATAAAAAATGTTTTGCCTTAAATATATTTAATATGTTAATTTCATTTCAGTACCAGCTGTTAAAAACTTATCACGTTTAGTATTTAAATTATCAAATTTTATTCGTTTCAGTACCTAAACTTTCATTTTGTTTTAAAATTTAACGTTAAATTTTGAACAACGTACTAAAATGAAACAAAACAAAACTTTAGGTATGATTTAAAAAAATAGAAAATTTAGATATTAAATAGATTAAAACTAATACTTTGGGTACTAAACGTGTAATTTACCCTTCGTGTTATTATAATATAAGTGTTTGAATTATATATATTTATGTTAAATGCTTAATTTTTCATAAATTTCTAAAGTTTTTATTTCACAATCATTTTCAAATTATCTATATTAAAAAGGTCTATTCAATGAACGTGGAACATGAAGTCCCCTATCTGTCTTTATTTATTCCTTTAAATTCTTTTAAGAAAATAAACATAAAAATTAAATTCTGATTTTTTTCTTTTAAAAAAATAAAAAATCTCCAAACACTTTAATTTCGAAAAAATAATCTATTTATGATACATGAAACTCAGCTATACTTTTTATTCTCAATTGTTTGTGAAATGAAAAACTTAAATCTAAAAAAATCAATATCAAACACCCAAATTACAAAACATTTTTTATTTCAAAATATAGTAAAAAATTTATGGATAAACTATATTAATTATTGACATTTTGTACATTTTTTCTTACTAAATTTAAAAATATACATAATATTTGATCAATTTCACTTTTATTTAATTAAGATAAGGTCACTTTTATTTAATTTCATCACTAACAATAATCAAAATTTCAATGGTTATTTTATTTAATTTCATCACTAACAATAGTCAAAATTTCAATGGTTAAATATTTAAAAGGCGATAAGGTAAATGATTGCATTTTAATTAAATACAAACATGCATTATCACATTTTAATTAAATACAAACGAACATAACCACAATCTAATTAAATAAAAATAAATATATATAATATTTGATCAATTTCACTTTTATTTAATTAAGATAAGGTCACTTTTATTTAATTTCATCACTAACAATAGTCAAAATTTCAATGGTTATTTTATTTAATTTCATCACTAACAATAGTCAAAATTTCAATGGTTAAATATTTAAAAGGCGATAAGGTAAATGATTGCATTTTAATTAAATACAAACATGCATTATCACATTTTAATTAAATACAAACGAACATAACCACAATCTAATTAAATAAAAATAAAGATAATCAAATATTATATTTTTAAAATTTAGTAAGAAAAAATGTACAAAAATTAAATAAAAATGATTAATCATATAATTTATCCACAAATTATAGCCAAAACTCTAACTCCTAAAAAATCCCCAAAATATTCCAATTTCACTTGTGAGTTAAGTAAAAAAAAATGGCATGTAATGAACTGTTAACACTTTGAATATTTCTTTATCATTTATCATAAAAGTTGCATCTGTCCTCTACACATAGGTTGCCTTTATCGCAAGAAATACACGCAACCGATGCTGCCATGCACTCCAAGTCACCAATAACAACCATACAACTGACATTTTTTTTATAACGTAGAACCTCCCAAAGTCAGGCTAAAGAATCCGACCCTATAAGGCAACCTCCGGAGGGGCTTAAAGAACCCACCACTTTGTCCCCTGCTTTTTTCCAGGATTCCCAGCCAGCGCGATTCGAACCTAGGACATGAGACCAGCTCATAATCCCAAGAGCCCTTGCTTTGCCAACTGGACCACACCTGCGGTGGTTACAACTAACATTGTTGATTTAACAGACTCCCAACAAATTTACTTCACGCATTCACTATCACACTTTATTATAACATTCACCCTACTTTGTTGGGTTTACAAATCAGCACAACTAACAACAATAAGTGGTTGTTTGTTTACTTCAGAATGATTAAGCGCTGAATGATTCAAATGTTGAATGATTCAGAGGCTCTGTATGAATTAGCTCTGAATGTGACATGTTGTTTGATAATGGCTCTGAATCATTCAGAATGTACTTTTGTGCTGAATCATTTAGCACTGTTTTTTGAACCAGTTAGCACTGAATCATTCAGAGGTGCGAAACAAACACGCTGAATGTTGAATGGTTCAACATTCAACGCTGAATGGTTCCATTAAGAGGCAAACAAATAGCCCCTAAGTTTATGATGAAACGTGGGAAAATAGGACTTAAACAAGGGCTTGGTGAAACCATCCAAAAATAACCAGGAACATAGTTAACAGAAATCGACCCATTGGAAACTTTCTCCCTAATAAAATGAACATCAAGTTCAATGTGCTTAGGAACATAAAACCCTGGATTAGCACTCATCGCTACTATACTCGTGCAATCACTCCAAACAACCAGAACTTCATCGATTGCAATTCTCATACGAGAAAAAAAAAAGCAACATTGGTTTCAAATTTGTCACCATTCGCCCGACCAAAGCCGATCTCGTCTCTCTGCTCTATTTCTGTTTAGGCATTCATCCCTCTTCATGGATTGGAGAAAGTTTTTCAGGTGCCAAGAAGAACAAAAGCTAACCTATTTTCCCCCCAAATCATCTGACGATTCCTCGATTGTCTGCCCGCCACCAGAGGTCTTCGAGGCTGGTATTGCAAACTGGAAATCTTCGCTTGTACGTCAATTCCTTGGGGCCGCACCAAATTTCTCTGCACTGCAAAGGATTATTGCTAACCTATGGAGCAATCAATTGAAAAGGGCACAAGTCCAGGTCAGTCTCGCTGGAAATAATCTTTACTTGTTTTCCTTCAATTCTGATACTGATAGAGACTGGGTCTTTGAAAACGGACCATGGCACATCCTCAACAACCCTCTAATTTTGAGGAAATAGGAGCCTAATATGCAAAGATTAGATTTTGACTTAGCTCGACTGCCTATATGGATACATCTATTTAATGTTCCTCTTGAACTGTATACACAAACTGGCCTTAGTTACATCTCTAGTGCCTTAGGAACTCCTATATCTATGGACAATGTAACTGCTTCTAAAACTAGACTTCACTATGCTAAAGTCTGTGTTGAGATAGGAGTCAAATAGGAAATTCCTGAATCGATCAAAGTGGAACTTGCTAACGGACAAACCACTAATATTTATGTTAAAATTCCCTGGTTGCCGAGTAGATACATTAAATGTATTTCTTTTGGGCACTATGACAAGAATTGTCCTTCTCATCAATCAACAGCACCTCAAACAATAAAAATCTGGAGGAAAAAAATAGCCCCTAATACTAACTCAGAAGCTAACATTCTGGTTAGTAATGTTGAAGTGCAAAACTCAAAGCAAGTCCCTCCTCCCTTAAAGGAACAATATGTTCCTTTCACTCACTCAGGAGAGATTTCTGATAATCATCTTCATCTAACAGAGCAATCTCCTAAGAATGATTCTTCAATTCCTTCTGTCATTCCTTCTAGCGAAGGAAAACATTCTTCAAATCTTTCCCAAAGTGGTGAATCAGACAAAGTTGATAATATTCCTTTGCCTCACTCTCCAATTGACAAGGATCAAGAGTCAACCCCTTCCCCAAAAGAGGTAGAGGAAGACCCACTAAGGTCAAATCTAAAGTTGCTCTTAAGGGATCAGCTAACAGATTCGAAATCCTTAATACTGTTGATGAAAACTCACCAATTGCAGAGGTTCATGTTAAGAAAACTAGGCCAGCAGCTTCAGAAGTGGCTAACCTTCTAAAGGAACTTAAAGCAAAAAAAGAAGGAACAAATAGTTAAAGTCAAAACCCCTTCTAATAGAGAAAAAGGGGAAACTTCAAAACCTTCTTCTCAATGATTATTTGTTTTTGGAACATCAGAGGGTTAAACAACCCTAAAAAATAAATAAAAGTTCTCCAAAGAGCCAACCTTTATAAAGTATATATTCTTTGCTTGATGGAGACTCGTATCAAGTCTGTTAATTCTGTCAACATCTTACACTCTAAATTCGGAAGTTGAAATGCTCTCACTAATTTATGAATTTGCCTCTAATGGTAGAATCTGACTGCTCTGGAAAAAAGGAATTGACATATGCTTTTGTAATTCTTCTTATCAAAGTATTACTGTCAAATGCCACTTCAACAGTATCCTTTTTATCATCTCTGGCATCTATGGAAGCAACAATGGTACTTCTAGAAGGCACATTTGGTAGCATCTTAGAATCCTTAATTCTCAATACAATTCTCTTCCTTGGATTCTTGGAGGAGATTTTAACTCTTTTCTGCACTACAAAGAAAGCTCTGACTCTGACCTATTAGGTCCTTATCTATCCACTGATATGAAAGACTTCCTTGATGTGGTTCAAGACCTTCTTCTTCAGGACCATCCATTTTTTGGCCCTACTTTTTCTTGGAGTAACAAACAAAAATATGCATTCCTTACAAGGAAACTTGGTAGAGTTCTCATAAACTCTCATTGGGTCAATTCCTCCAACAAGTCTTTTGTTGAATTTTTTGCTCCTAGACCCTCTAATCATTGCATGGCTCTTGCATGGCTGAACAAAGAAGCCCATACCAACAGACCCAAGCCTTTCAAGTTCTTCAATTTTTGGTCCAACCATCCTACTTTTCTTGATGAAGTGTGACATTCTTGGCAGCAAACTATTCATGGTAATCCTATACATGCTCTTTTCCTCAAACTTAAAAGACTTAAGCCTTGTTTACAAGATTTGAACAAGAATTCCTACAGTAACTTATCTGCTAGAGTCAAACTAAAGAAAACAGAGCTGGAACAAGTTCAAATCTCTACTCTTAAAGGAACCAGCCCCCTTGAGAAGGAACTATCTATTCAAAATGAGCTTGTTGCATTAGAGGAAGCTAAAAAACTGTTTTTAAGGAAAAAATCTAAGGTCAAGTGGCTTAAAGAGGGAGACAAGTGTACTAAATATTTTCACTCTGTTATTGCTACTAAAAACAAAAATGATACCATAAGAGTCCTCATAAATGCTCAAGGAAAAAGGCTGAAATCTTTTGAAGACAAGTCATCAGAAGCCTTAGAATTCTTCAAACAACAATTAGGCACGGTGGACCCTGACTTGCAGCAAACCAATCCTCATTTCTTGAAAAACCTTCTCCAGTTCGACATGCCTGCTGAGCTCTCTTCAGACTTAGTAAAAAATGTTACTAATGAAGAGATCAAAGAAGCCTTATTTAGCCAAGGAAATGATAAATCTCCTGGTCCAGATGGTTTTACTCATCTTTTCTTCAAAAGAACTTGGTATGTGGTTGGAAATGATGTAACCAAAACAATCAGATTTTTCTTTGAAGAAGCTTTCATTATGCCTGCTTTTAACTCCACGATTATAGCCTTGATTCCTAAGATACATAATCCAAGTACTATCAAGGATTATAGACCTATCTCATGTTGCTCAGTGGTGTACAAAACCATCTCTAAAATCATATTGTTATTACTCCTAACCAGTCTGTTTTTGTTCATGGAAGATCTATAATTGACAACACTCTTCTTGCTCAGGAACTTGTTAAAGGTTATGGTAGAAAACAAATATCTCCTAAGTGTGCTCTCAAAATTGATCTAGAAAAGACATTTGATTCTCTCCATTGGGATTTCATCTCTGTTACCCTCAAAACCATTGGTCTTCCTAGTATCTTCTTAAAATGGATAGAGGTTTGTTTCAAAGAAGTCAGATAATCTATCTCCTTTAATGGTATCTTAGTTGGTTATTTCAAAAGTCAAAGGGGGATTAGACAATGAGACCCTTTATCCCCTATCCTCTTCTTGCTTGCTATGAACATACTCTCCAAAATCCTAAATCTTGTTGCTTCTAAAGGGATATTTGGGTATCACCCTAAATGTAGAAAAATTGGTTTAACTCATCTCTCTTTTGCTGACGACCTTCATATTTTATGCAAAGAATCATGAATCTATAGCTGGAATCATCATTGTCTTAAACCATTTCTATGTCTTGTCTGGACTCAAGCTCAATGTAAGCAAAACTGAACTCTTTGCTGCTGGTATTTCCTCTAGAAACCTTGAAATTATTCATTCTATTTCTGGCTTTAAGCATGGTCAGCTCCCAGTTAGGTATTTAGGAGTTCCATTAGTCACTAAAAAACTGTCTGAACTTGACTGCCAGCCTCTTCTGGATAAAATCAAGTTAAGGTTGTATCATTGGTCTAGTAAGCTACTCAGTTATGACGGGAGACTTGAATTAATCAAAACAGTTCTTTTCAGTGTGGCCAATTTTTGGTGTAGGCAATTCATGCTTCCTCAGTCTATTATTAACTGTATAGATCATATTTGTTCTCGGTTCCTGTGGAAAGGCACTGATCAGGCAACTTCTAGGGAGCGAGTCAGTTGGACATGTATTTGATGTCCTAAATCAGAAGGTGGCCTAGGTCTGAAGAACTTAAAATCTTGGAATATTACTTGCATGATTCAGTTAATTCGAAATATTCTAGTAGGAGAAGGATCCCTTTGGGTGGCTTGGTTGCATTGCTATGTTCTCAAGAATAATGACTTATGTGACATAGATGAAAGCAATGCACACAACTGGTGTACTAAAAAACTTCTGAAGCTGAGACTTACTGCTCTCCCCATTCTGAATGCTCGAACAATTTACACTAAAGATATTTGGGAAGCTGTAAGAGATAGAAAGAGTAAGGTGACTTGGCATAAAGTCATATGGTTCCCTATGCATATTCCTAAGTTTAGTATGATAGCTTGGATGGCAATCCTAGACAGACTTCCAACTCGGGATAGACTGTCAAGGATGGGAATTCTTAATGATGTTCAATGTGTCTTATGCAATGAGGCTTTTGAGTCTATGAACCATCTTTTTGCATATTGTAGCTTTGCTAAAACTCTGTGGAACTCTATCTTAAATTTGACTCACTTGCATAAACCCCAAATGTCTTGGGAAACAATGATTGAATGAGCTTGTGTTGAATGGAGGGGTGAATCTTTAATCTACACCCTACTGAAAATAGTATGGACTTCCTTCATCTATGCGATTTGGGAGGAGAGAAATAGAAGAATTTTCCAGCAAAGAACTAGGGAGGCTGCACAACTTATGTCATCTATCAAAGAAATTGTCCGAATCAAGCTTAGTGGAAAAAATATCAACAGAAATGATTCTGTTAACTATAACATTTGTTGTAAATGGGGTATAGACTAATCATTATTTTGTTGTAATTATTGTTTATACTCCCTTTTGGGACGACTTTTGTAGCTACTTTTCTTCTGGATAATAAAATCTACTTATCCAAAAAAAAACCGACCCCAAACTCATATAGACCACCATCTTCACGACTTTCAAGCAAAACCTCTCCTGTAACTTCATCACGAACAACACAATTCCGTGCATGAAACTCCAAAAAGACGTCATTATCACAAATAAGCTTGGACACCGAAAGAAGATTTCTAATAAGATTTGGAACAAAAAGTAAACAATTCAAATGTAATGAACGAGAAGGCGTAAATAAAGTAGAATGCCCAACACTATTAATGTGCAACCCATTTCCATCCCCGACTACCATCTTACCAGCCCCACGAAACTCAGTGCGATCATCAACAACCGTAGCATCAGTCGTGATATGGTGAGTAGCACCCGAATCGACACACCATGAAGAACGAGCATCGCCCCCTTTGCGCACGGAACCTCGACCATACTCACTAATAAATGCACCACAAGAGGACTCCTCATGATCATTACATGAACAAGAAGATGACCCAATTTCCCGCAAAGTTGGCATTGAAACCGGCTTCGACCACGACCCCGTCCACCAGGCGAGCTAGCTGAGACACGACCTCTGTCAAACACAGGACCACGAGCAGCCTGCTCACCAACAGAAGCACCATGATCAGGCATCACACGAGCATTACCAGACGAATCATCAAGGGACATCTTAGTAAGATTGGCACTAAGTTGCACTCCATCAAGCTGATCAAAGGTCTATTGTTGCACTAAGTTTGTTATCGTCTTTTTAACTGGTTGGGGTCTGCTTTTCTATGGCGGATACAAGTTCTTAACCAGAGGCAAAGGTAAGAAGGAAGAGATACTTTTATATACTCTGAACTTTTACTTATCATTAGAATTGAATAAGCAATTTCTTGCATTGTCAGTGTTACGTTACTTGGAACCGAGGTGTGCAGTCCAAGACAATTATGCTCAATTTTTCTAAGCATTGCCTTTTTCATATACGGAGGATCATACAGTCTTACTCGTATCTGAATATCTGTTTGGCACATTTTAGAAAATGAAAGGTTTGGGTAACATAGGTATGGAGTATGGACTGGAAGTTCATTTTCAGGAGATTTTCTATTGAGTTAGGCCTATGTACCGTCTTGCTGGAGATGTTTCTGTTGGTCAATGTTGAATTTTACTGTTATAACATGGAATCAATATTATTTACCTGCAGTAAAAACCAGATTATGGTTGATACAATATATGATCAAGTGCAGTATTGGCCTCTGTCACACATCCATTTGTTGATGATCACTACCGTGTGATGTAATTTCAATGAGAAAATCTAACTAGTGATAGCTAATAGGAGCACTTAACAGTTTCTTAGGTTTCACATTAGTGTAGTCCTCTCATTTCATCTTTTTCTTGTTGTAGAATGCAGTGGAAACGGCAAAGAACTGAGGTTGGAGCTTTTAGTTTTTACAAGATTCCCAGTTAATAGTGTGTGCCTGGAACTTTGATGTCCTTAGGATATTGTTTTCGCATTTGTTGATAAGATATTATGTTGATGGATTAGGAAAGTAGTGAACTATACTTTTTGAATTTAACTTTTATAGGAATAAATATTATTAATTTCAATTTTTAATAATATTCAACATTTTAATTTATTTTCAATTTTAATAAACAAATACTATAACAAACAATAATTCAATTAAAATCTATTTTTAAATTTCAATTTTATAGGAGTAGATATTATTATTTTTATATTAAAAATATATTTTCATGAAGTCCAATTTTTATTGGGCCAGAGTTAGGCTTCCAGCCCGTTGTACCTCCTTTGAATCATTCAATATAAAATGCAGCCGCCCGAAAACTAAGGTTATAGCCTTATAGGTTCTATTCTCATGGAGTGTGCCGAAGATATCTTCGATTCATCGCTAAATCTTGAAGAAACCCATTACCAAGAAGGTCACAAAGAAGGTTTCAACCATGGCATAACCACCGGCAAGGAAGAGGGAAAGGAAGTGGGTCTTAAAACGGGTTTCGAAACAGGCGAAGAGCTCGGTTTCTACAAGGGCTGTGTCGATGTGTGGAACTCCGCCATCCAAGTCGATCCGACCCAGCTCTCTGCTCGAATTCAGAAGAATATCAAGCAGATGCAGGAACTAATCCAAAAGTACCCTGTTATGGATCCAGAAAACGTAAGCGTCCAAGAAATAATGGAAGCTTTGAGGCTCAAGTTTAGGGTTATCTGCACTGGGTTTGGTGTGAAACTGGAATATAATGGATACCCAAAACCTAATGACATCGAATTTTGATTTCAGCTAATTTCGGTTTAGGTATTTTTGTTGCATACGCTGGGTATCAGATGCTAATGCTCTTTGTTTGTTATCTTTGTTTATCTTGTTTTTATCGAATTTGGAATTCGATTCTCCATTAATCAGTATTAAGTAGTGCAGTGTGCTATTAAAGTTTCAGTCTTGATCTGTTTCTCATCTGGATTCACCTTTTGTTTATGCTGGAGTGCTGGTCCCCACTTCTCCCTTAAACTGTGGCTAAATGTTTGCCTTTTATCTTATTTTGTTATCTCTATATATCTATTCCCGTATCCTTTTTGGCAGATCTTAAGCAAGTAGAAAGAGGCGGAGAAGCAAAGATGTTGAACAAGATGCTGGCTTGTGGCAAGGTATATATTTCTGAAAGCCGAAATAGAGCAGCTTTGGAGTCGATTGAAAGAGCTGCCCAGCTATTCCCCGAGGCTGCTATTGTGAATAAGTTCATAGATGTGACTTACAATAGAGTTGGGTATACGGTTGTTTCTAGATTGACTCCAAAACCATCTCAAGATTCATGTCCTTTGAAAGATACAGTGTTTGCCATTGTTAAGTCTGCTTTGGAAACCATAGATTTTGAGTTGCATTCTGGAACCCATCCTCGACTCGGAGTTGTTGATCATATATGTTTTCACCCCTTGGCACATACTTCCTTGGACCAGGCAGCTATGATTGCAAAGTTGTTGGCAGCCGATATAGGCTCTAAACTCGAAGGTTTCTTCTTTTTGAATTTAATGCTATGTAGATATTGCCAGTATTAGTTGGATTAATCAGTGGAACTTTGGGATATGATTTAGCAAAAAAATGTATATTCCTCTTTAATCAATGAATCTGTATGACTCCAGTCAGGTATTGTAGAGGTTAATAGAATTGGTGTTTCTCTGATCTTTTGTTGTAGCTATTTGGTCATTCTGAGTATCTACAATGAACACTCACTCACTTTCTCCTCTCTGGATTAGGCCAGAAGCATGGTCTGCATGTTGCTTAGTAGACATTTTGTTCTTTCGACATTAGAACTATTAATATGCTATTTTACTCATTGATATTATTTCTTTCCCTTTTTTTTCTAATTTTGTATCATTGTATCATTTTTGTCTCCCGCCTTGATTAGAATTTAGAAGTTGAAAGGCAGTAAGTAAGAATCATTGCTGATGACCTTGAATGTTAACTGTGTAGTACCTACATTTCTTTATGCGGCTGCCAATGAGAAGGGAAGGTTGCTTGATTCTATCAGAAGAGAACTCGGTTATTTCAAGCCTAACTCAGGCAGTATTATATGGTCTGGAGGGTCTAAATCAGGGTCCTTGCCACTGAAGCCTAATGCAGGCCCAGCTCAAGCATCTCCAACAAAAGGAGTTATTTTAATTGGTGCCACCAATTGGGTTGCTAACTATAATGTCCCTGTGTTCTCAACTGATATTGCGGCTGCTCGTAGGATTGCGACAAAAGTGAGTGAGAGAGGAGGTGGACTTCCTTCAGTGCAAGCGATGGGGCTTGCACATAGTGATGGTGTTACTGAGGTGGCTTGTAATTTATTGGAACCAAGTGAAGTGGGAGGAGATAGAGTTCAGGTTGAAGTTGAGAGGCTCGCAAAGGTAGAGGGTTTGCGCGTAGGGGAGGGGTATTTCACCGATCTTACACCCGACCAGATTATTGAAAGGTACATGAAGTTGAGTTCTCATTAATGAATGAAATGTGATCTTGGATGTGTTTTTTTTTTTCTGTTCTATTCATGTATCTCATTTTTTATTGCTACTCTATTGCCTCACAAATACATTTTGATCTTATGAAGAATCACATACACATTTTACTTTTGAACTCCATTCTGCGTAAATATTAGTTAATCTTTGGTTTGACAGTCTGTTGCTATTGAATTGTTATAAAATAGGGTGAAGCCTAAATATTCCCCTGATTTCTGGCTTATTGTATTTGCTTAAACATTTTGACCTGGGGGAACAATTCTTGCTAACAAGTTAATGAACTGATTTCAGAAGTATTAAAAATGGCTGGCCCTTTTTCCCATATGTATGGGGTAGGAGGAGGTAAGATAGTAAGATGCTCTCAACACCAGGTTGAGAGCAACTTCCGTAAGAGACCTCTGTGATTTCAGAAGTATTAGTATGTATCAATAATATACTCCCCATGTTAGAGTTAATCTTTCTTTCGTTTCATATAAATTAGAGTTGATTGTATCACATATTCTCGATCTATAACTCTCATTTTAATTTGATCCCTAAATTTTTAACTATTTTAATTCCATCCTCAAACCATGATTCTCCTCCTAAATTGGTCTTAAACTTTTAAATATTTCAAATTCATTCCTGAATCAATATATTTTAAATTAATACGATATAGATAATATAAGAAAACTTACATTAAAGAAAATGGCATCCAAATTGTTAGAAAACGTTCATTCTGCAAGTATAATTTTACTAAGATAGTATGTTTTAAACTCATATGATATGGATATTAAATCAGTTAAAAAAATTATATGTACGACTAGTATGATTTGAACGTTTAATTTTGAGGAAGGAGGAGATGCATAATCAACACTCTTACTGGATAATGGGATACCAATAATATAACCAATGTGAACACGACCTACTCAAATTTTTAGGGTATCACTGTCTCACTGATCGGTTCCTACAAGGCTACTGTTCTTAGCAACTCAGAAAATAAATCAGTTTACATTCCGAGAAAACACGTCCGTTTTCAAACTATCAAGATCAAATAAACAAAATATCTTTGATTTGTGAGGTGCACAATGAGCATAGCAATGCAAGTGCACCACTCACACCGGTCACATGGGGTTTGATTTAAAAGCTCACTTAACTCTGTCCACATCCATGCATGGCCAATTTTCCCTGCAGCGGAACGACGTTTCTAACACATTAGGGTACCATTTTCTTCTGACTAAATGCCGACGCTGAAAAGTCAGGCTTTTTGACGTTTCTGGTTCGAGGTTTAATCTTTTTATCTCCACGAGCATGTTTGTTTTCTAAGCAGCACTTGTTCGTACCTATATGGATCACATGGGGATTTGTTTTTACTCACATCAATGATAAAAAGGCAACAAACTGTTGTGGAATCACGAGCAAAAGGAAGCTGTAGATATTAGCTCAAGTATCAAGGTAAGGTCCAGCTCTAGTTATAGAGTTCTCTATCCCTTTGCTTGCTAGTTAAACTATTTCTCAATGGTTTGTGTATAACCAGAAGAAAAATGGTGCAAATCAGTCGGTGTTGATATGCTTCAAGATCTATTTCTCTGAATCTCGTAGCCGTGAACTCCTTGAATCCATAGAGAGAGCTGCAAGGCTAGACCCAGAAACTGTTTTCGTCAACAAATTCGAGGACCTAGCATACAACCGGACACGCTTTTTGTTTGTTTCATACGTTGTTCATGACAGCATGGGTAGTGCTATTTATAGCCCCTTGCAACAAACTGTCCTAGCCATGGTTGAGGCTGCTTATGGAACAATAAACCTCGAGCTGCATTCTTGTACGCATCCTCGGCTCTGTGCGGTCGACGACATCGTTTTGCATCCCTTGGCTCGGGCATCCTTGGACGAAGCAGCTTGGATTGCCAAGGCTATTGCAGCAGACATTGGCAACCGATTCCAAGGTAAGTTATTCTTCTAATTAGTATTGAAAACTTTTTTGTAACATTGTTTCTACTTTAATGTTGCAGTGCAAGTGTTTTTGCTCGGTGCGGCACACCCAACAGGGAGGGCCCTGGATAACATCAGGCGGGAGCTCGGCTACTACAGGCCCAATGACATGGGCAATCAATGGGTAGGCTGGGCTTTGCCTGAAACACTCTCTGTATAGCCTGACGAAGGGCCAACCGGAGTATCTCGAGCTAGAGGCATCACCATGATCGGGGCATGCCAATGGGTTGGACTGTACAACGTGCCCATTATGTCGACTGATATCTCGATGGCTCGTCGCATTGCGAGAATGGTGAGCGCGAGAGGAGGTGGTCTTCCTACAGTCCAATCACTGGGCCTGGTCCATGGTGAGAACTCGATTGAAATAGCTTGCATTCTTCTAGAGCCGAATCGGGTCGGTGCAGAAAGGGTCCAGCCCCGGGTTGAGATGCTTGCTGCCCAATAAGGGTTGGATGTGGAACAGGTCTATTTCACGGATTCTTCACCTGAAATGATACTGGATAAATATCTCAACTTAATTTCTGCTGTCAGAGATTGATAATAAAATGGGTCATTGTGCAGCTTTTACATTTAACCCTCCCAATAAATCTTGTAAGAATGGCACGACCCTTCCAATATGCAAGAGTTGCATGTACATTATCCGACCAGTAATCCATGAACGCTCAATGAAATTCAGATGAAAAAAATCTCTGATGAAACGGATTAAAGTTAGGTAATATAATCCCTGCATGCAATGGACTAAAATAAATAAAGAAAAGGAGGCCGGTATTTATTTATATCATTCGGCCATGGGGATGGGTTGGCAAATTGATTGGCCAGGCCAGCTGATGCACCAGGGGCCTTGTATTACAAGATAAAAAAACATAACCAAAAAGCTGAGTATACACTGTACCTTACACGTTCAGATTCGCATAAAAATCTTTCCCACTTTCTGCACACTCATCACAGCTTTTGCAGCCAGAAGTGCCCAGGTGAATTCACGAGATAATGTTTTCGAACTTTTTTATTCACGATATAGTGCACATCTCAGATTAATTGTTGAAATGGGGTGAATTCTACAGTGATGGCCATAGGACGCCATGCAATCCAGGCGATCTTGTAGGACGCCATGCAATCCAGGCGACATACGGGGTGACATACGAGCCATACGGGGTGACATACGAGCCATACAAGCCATATACGAGCCATACGAGCCAATGGAGAGGTCGCCATGCAATCTTATACGAGGAGAGGTCGCCATGCAGGCTTAGACGAGTCATACGAGCCAATAGAGAGGTCGCCATGTAGCCTAGGCGACCTTGTAGGTCGCCATGTAGTCCCGGCGACCTTGTAGGTCGCCATGTAGTCCCGGCGACCTTGTAGGTCGACATGTAGTCCCATGTAATCCTAGCTCACGAGACCTCATGCATGCACATGCAGCCACAACTTAGATTCCTTCACGTGCTCCCCTCCTGCTCCCCCCTGCATGCCTACAGCTCCCAATGCATGCATGTGAACCATTTGAGCCGTGAATTATTGGTACAATAATTGAACCATTGCTGCGTGAAATCAGCTGCTATCATAGCTGCAATTGCACAATTATTGGTGAAATAATTGAGGCAGCCGGTTATATATATGGGGTGTGCATTATCGTGAGAACATAAAAGAAAGAAAGAAAGGGAGAAGAGATTGCAGCCAGAGCTTGGTCGCCGAGATTGCAGCCGAAGAAAGGGAGAAGAGATTGCAGCCGAGAAAGAAAGAAAGGGAGAAAGGAAAGTAAGAAGAAGAAAGGGAGATAAGGTAAATTTTTTTTATATTTAAATTAGTTTATTATTATAAATGTTTAATTTGTTAGTTTAGGGTTTAGGGTAAAATAAAAAGCAGTTAATTAGTTTGTTAGTTTAGGGTTATATGATTGTTAGTTTAAGTTATAGTATACATAAATTAAAAATTATTTAATTAGTATATGTTTGATAGTTATATAGTTAAAAAATAATTAATTAGTTTGTTTGTTAATAGTTAGTTATATAAAAAAAATTATTTAATTAGTTTGTGTTAGTTAAATAGTTAAGTTATATTTGTTTGTTGAATTTATATTATATAAAAAATTAGTTAGTAAGTTTATTAGTAGTATATTATAATGAAAAAATAGTTTATTAGTTAGTTTTAGTTATATAAAAGAATATTTTATTAGTTGTTTAAGGGTTTAGCGTTTACGTTTAACTTATATTTTAAAAAGTTTAGTTTGTTAGTTTATTAGTTTATTATATTATAAGTTATTATATTAAAGTTTAGTGTTGTAAATTAGTTAGTTAGTTTATATTAGATTATATTAAATGATTTTTTAAATATTGTTGTTTAATTTTTTTACAGATTCATTCCAATGGCTGACCAAATTCCACTGTTGAGGCTTGACAATGAACATATTTCAAGTCATTTGGGAATAATGGTGAATAAAATATTTGTTTAATGAATTATAATTAATAAATATTTGAATATTGTTTTATGATTGTGATAATTTTTTTGAAATATTTAATTGTAGGAGGACGAGCAGCGAGTCCTTCGTCTTCGACTACATAAAGTGCCCAAGCCACACCCACTGATAGAAGAAAATTTGCAAGAGGCTGGATTTTGGTATATAACATTTGTGCGAGATTACAAGTTGGTCCCAGGTTTGATCAGTGCGTTGATTGAACGTTGGAGACCAGAAACGCACACGTTTCATTTGCCGTGTGGCGAATGCACGATAACTTTGGAGGATGTGGAAATGCAACTCGGGGTCCAAACTAATGGGATGCCAGTGGTAATGTCACATGAGTTTAATAAGGTGGAACAACTTTGCAACTTGTTTCTTGGGAAAGCGCCCGTACCACCAGAGTGTAAAGGGTGGCGGGTGAGGTTGTCATGGTTGAAGAATGAATTTCAACTTCAATCAAATAGTACGGAGCACGAAATTATATATGCAACACGAGCATATATATTACAATTGATTGGGGGAATTTTGATGCCTGATAAATCCGGTAGTTATGTTCACACTCAGTATCTTCTTTTTTTAACAAATTTTGAGAATTG